GGAATTGTGAGAATCAACTAAAGTTAGGTCTTTCTGTCAAATGAGTTAATGTAAAACTATCACTGTGTAGATGCCAGCTAACCTCCCCAAATTGCTGCCTACATGCTTTGTGAAATGTTGCTTGACCTTGCAAGGTTCTTATGGTGGGATGAAGAGATGTTTTTCTTAACTGAGTAAAATGTCAGCCCCTATCCCCTATCTTCAGGCGACCTTGAGAAATCACTTTCTCACTGAGCTGTAAAAATGTCACTGCGTCAGAAAATCTTGCCCTTACTCCAAACAATAGCTAGCCAATCAGGAAGATTGTGAACCCAAACCTGTCCATCAGGGTGAGGGGCAGAGAGATTAAAAACTGAGCTGACTCCCTGCTAAGTGTGTTCTGCCTATCAGACTATGGTCAGTGGCTGCACCCTTCTGCAGAAGTAAAACTTCCTTTTGCCCTGCTGAGCAACTCCTGCGTGTTTCTTTGATTACTGTTTGGGAACGGCATTTCTATCAGCAGTCTGATTCCATCATATTTTCAACTGTTATTTACTTATTTATTGGTGCTACTGGGGTTTGACCTCAGGGCTTTGAACTTGCTAAGTAGCCACTCTGCCACTTGAGCCACACCCTCAGCCCTTTTTACTTTTGTTGTTTTAATAGGGCCTCACTGTTTATGCAGGGGCTGGCCTGGACTGCAATCCTCCTACTTACACTTTCTGAGTAGATGGGATGACAGGTGTGTACCATCATGCCCAGCTTTTATTGGGTTGAGATGAGGGTCTTTCAAACTTTTTGCCCTGGCTGGCCTAGAACCTGAATCCTCCTAATTTCTGCCTCATGAGTAGGCATGAACCACTGTGCCCAGATCAAATGTTATAATGTTGTAAAGAATATAATAAAAACATAAATGAGATAAGCACTTACTTTGTGTGTTTGATGGCTTTCTGTTGCTGTGAAAATACCTGAAATAAAGCAATTTACAGGAGAAAATATTTGACTCACAATTTCATAGGTTTCAATCCATGGTCACTTGGGGCTACTGCTTTGAGCCTCTGATGGCACAGCACATCAGTGGCAGTAGCTTGTGGTGGATAACTGCTCACCTCATGGCAGTCAAGCAGCAAGAGACAGGAAGGGTTTGGGAGTCCATATCCCCTTTCAAAGTCATACCCCCATGACCCAACTTCCTTCTACTAGGCCCCAGCTCTTAAAGGTTCCACCAACTCCCAATGACATCAAGGCTGGCAATCAAGCCTTCACCACAGGGACTTTGAGAGACATTTAAGATCCCAACTGTAAAATGGAAAAATTACAGGCATTCTAATCTGCAGCTGAATTAAATTGTTGGAGAGAAATGGTCTTGCTAGTTAATAGCTGCTCCCAAACAACTTGACACAAGGGTTTCCAAAATCTGATCTTTGTAGTTTCTCTGAAGTGCTGACTTTAGCTTGTTGAAGTACCACAGATTAAGTGACTCTTTTGACTACTGAAAATAAACAACTTTTGCAGGCTAGTGGCCTCACACAGGGCTTGGCACCCAGGTGATGAATAAATAAACGATGGCTGAGTTGAATGCCTTCCAATCAAAGGCATTTTGAAATATTCTATTGCTATTCATATTCCACAAAATGCCTTGAATACAAATAATTTAGAATGTCAAAACAAAATGCTATACAGCAATTTAAGAGAATTAAAAGAGAAATGAAGTATAAATGGAACATTAAAGCTTTGAAATAAAAAAAAAAAAAGACCCTTGAAATCCTCTCTTCTAGCTCTACAAGAAAAGGAAAGGCAATGAGCATTTGGGATCAAACAAGCATGATCTTTAATAACTCAATTCCTTTCATTTGTGCTTTGCATGCTGCTGCAGGCATACCAATCTGAACAGGCTGCATAAGCAGCTCAGATAACTTTTTAAAGGCTGAATTAACCTCACAGCATTCCTTAACAACCCCTATACTTTTTTGTATGCATTCAAATGTAGTCTACAAATAAAACAGGTTTTTCTGTCACTGTAGATAACAAAATGGTTACTGGGTAACACAAGATGGGCTTGTAATCCTGGCCTTGGATCTAGTAAGGCATTGAAACTCACCTCAAGTTCAACAAAATACTGTGTTCAGTCTTCCTGTAACTCTTAACCAGTATCAAATGAGTTAATGCATAATGCAGGTTTTTCATAATCTCTAAGAATTTAATGAGAAAACTGGTTAATCTGTAATGTGGCATGATCCAAACCTAGGGCAAGCAAAAAAAATCCCATAAAGACCTGAGACCTGTGTGAGAAGCAATGAGAGCTACAGACAAACAATAGCTCAACTGGACCCACATCCAGCCATTAACAGATTTAAGAAGAGAAGCCACCTGTGCCGATTTGCCATAGAAAGGACATTAACTCAGTCTTTCTAGTACAACATTCTCACCCAGTCTGTCTCCTGACACATGTTGTAAAATGTCTACACTACCTAGTTGTGGAACAGATTGTTGGCCTTTGCTTTAAGAGCAGTATGAAAGGAAGTCAGATTCTCTTGGGTGTAGGAAAAGCAGAAAAACAGACATAAGAGCAGTAGTGTGTCTCTAGTCTATGATAGGCTCTCAAAAAGCACCTACTGAACAGACATGAGATCTATAAGAATATGGCCATAAGCTAATTTTGAGCAGGGGGTTAAAGCAACACACACTAGTTTAAAAAAAAAAAAAAAGGCCTCCTATATACAGTTTTAGTAAGCTTTAATAAGTAAATTAAGGGCCTGTGTTAAAATAAATGAAACTCTAATGCAACATTATAGCAAAAGTTTTTGGAATGGATTCAAATGGAAAAGTTTGGGCTAGAAATACTTGTTTAGAAAAAGAACTACATTACTTACCTTTTTCACTAGCTAACCCAGGTCTTCTTAAACCTTCAGGGTCTGACCAAGCCAAGATGTATTTTATTAAAACCTCTTTCAGTTTGAACTAGATTATATTCTTGGGAATAACCAAGTTTTATTCAATGAACAAGTAGAAGGGATTCTTGATTAATACTAGTTCTATAGTTCCTTTTTTTGTGTGGTACTGGGGTTTAAACTTAGCGACTATACCTTGAGTCACTCACCAGCCCTTTTTTGTGATGGGTTTTTTCGAGATAGGGTCTCATAAATTATGTGCCCAGGCTGGCTTTGAACTGCTATCCTCCTGATCTCTACCACCTGCGTAGCTAGGATTACAGGCATGAGCTACCAGTGCTGGCTTAGTTCTATAGTTCTTTTGTGTAGCCGGCTTCTAGGTTAATATAAAAAGCTCAGAAAAGGACATCAGATAAAGTAAAAGGCTTTATTATTCAGGATCAGTTCAAAGCCTGACAAAGACACAGGCAGGGGTAATTATTACCTCATTACATTTGAACTTTGGCACCTATTTGCAGTAGTAGTTTTCCAAGTAGGACATGTTACACCCAATAGCATCTCTGCGCAGTTTCTGACAGCTACATTTACCCCAATTTCACTCTCTGCTGCTGTCAGAAGTTGTGCAGAGATACAAAGCCATCTACATTACTTTTTATTTTTCATGGATTTCCCCGCACTGCTTTCTTTCTTTTTTCTTGTGGTAGCTGGAGTTTGAATTCAGGGCCTTGCATTTGCTAGAAAGATGTTCTACCACTCGAGCCACATCCCCAGTTTCCCATACTGGTTTTTAAGGCAAGAGAGATATTCAGCATTATTGGCAGATATGGCTCATAAATAACACCTTTCCATTGTTTAAAACTCGAAAATCAAACACCAAATATAAGTAGATTTCCTAAATACTCAGTTAAGGTCATGGTATGTTTGGTTTTATCACAGCAATTCTTTTTCTTTTTTTTTTTTTTTTTTGGTGGAACTGGGATTTAAACTCAGGGCTTTGCACTTTACAAAGCAGGCACTCTACAGCTTGAGCCACACCCCCAGTTCATTTTGCTCTGTTATTTTGAGGTCGGGGTATTGCAAACCATTTGCCTGGCCTGGCCTTGAACCTCAGTCCTCCTGATTTCAGCCTCCAAAGTAGCTAGGATTACAGGTATGAGCCACCAACACCTGGCCAATCACAGTAATTCTTCCACTTCTCTCTTTTATTTTCTTCCTTGGATAAAATCACAAAGATAAAATCACCTAAGCTTAATTAACTTATGCAGTTCTGGTTGTTATGTAAGCTCAACTTACAACCTCCTCAAGGGAACTAAAATTTTTATTAGGAATAGATTTCCAAATCATGAGAAAAATAGGAATAAAGTCTATAGTCCCCTGGGATATGAATAAAATATGGAAGAGAACTCTTCTCCAAATACATAAAGCTTCCTTCCATGAGGTTAGTGGGGAAAAAAAAAGTATAACAAGGGTTCGTTTCAAGAAGACTGATGCGTAATTGTTGTTTAAGGGTAGAGATGTTTAAGATATTTTGTACATTACTTATAGTCGGCTGGTAAAACTCTATATTAAACATCTAAAGTTCCATTTTGTTTGTGGCTCAGAGCTATATTAGAAGGTTACTGCTTTTTATGAAAATTAAGTCAAGGTTTATTTTTCAGGTCCTGGATTTTAGTTTAAAGCAATCATCTTTTATAAAAATATCAATATGAAATCATTACTTTTTCTTAAACTCTAATGACTTATTTTTAAAAACACTGCAGACCCAGGATGAAGGAGTATTTCTAAATTCTAACTCTAGCTTCAGTGTATGATTATTGATTTTATAAGACATCTTCCTCTATTAAGTGGGAAAAAATCAAAACCTATAGAAAGTGATGTTGGGTTGGGAATAAAGAAGATTGCTTGGTAAAAATCGGGAACTTTGTAGCTCATATAGAGATATATTTTGGGGATAAAAGATGAATCCACTTTTCTATTGTTCTCTTAGTTTCTTCTTGGTTGACATTTATCACTGCATTTAAAATAAAGATGACTAACTCAAGAAATTGTATTTTAACATGGAACCAATCAATATAAATGCACTTATTTGAACACCACATTTTTATAGACTTTAAAAAAACCCAACAAAAGCATAGTGAAAGATTACATATTTCAAATGAAATTATGCTTGCTTGAGGCAGGACACATCCAGGATCTTCTGCAGAGGATGTCTTCAGAGGTCAGCCTTCACAGATAGGTTTTGTGCTATGGCTGGCAGACACTTCCCTATACTGTGTACAGGAATTTTCAGAGTAAGAGAGACATCTTCTTTTTTGGCCTCCACAATGTGGGATGTCATTATTGTAAAGAAGATGCATAATTTAAAAAGTGTAGCGTATTCATTCAAAATACTACAGAATGACAATTTACTTTATGAAATTTAAACACAGCATTCACTTTGAGGAAGCTGTGTATACACCAGTAGTAGAACCACATAGGTGTATTAAAGAGTTTTATTAAAGAGGATTTTCTCAAAAGAAAGGATGGCACTTTCTTAAAGAAGAGTTTTTTTTTTTTTTTTCACCTTGTTTTAGAGGACCAAAGTTCAGTTAACTCACTCAGATTAGAATCTATAATTCTGTCGAATGTTCAGGACTACAGAAGTCATCTTGAGACTTTCTATGAAAGTATGTACAGATTTTCCTCATGGAACTAGGAGTAATGGTGACCTAGAAAAAGAAAATTTAGATTTCAGAAGTTGCTTAAGTTAAAATTCACAGTTATCCTGATAAGTTATCACTAACAGTACCTTAATTTAGGATTAACGGAAATTCAATTATTTTAGTTATACAGATTCCAGTCCCAAGTTCTTTTGATAGCAATGTCTCTTCTGGTTGATTTATATAAAATAGTAAACATTAATAAGTAATATGCAAGAAAGGCATACATGGCTTATGCAAACAGAAAGTATATATCATTTAAGTCTATTAGGAACCAAAGAGGCTACACTATAATTACCATACTCTTTGAAATAATCGAGGAAATCAGCTCCCCCAATTTGTAAACAAGATAGGTATTTCTACATTATCATTATGTGAAGAAAAAATTATTCTAAGGAAACATAAGGCAGGTATGATGGTGCATTCTTATAATTCAAGCCCTGAGGTAGGAGGATCAAGTTCAAGGCCAGCCTGGGTTATGTAGCAAGATCCTGCCTCAAAACTAATAAATAAAACAAAAAACTAAAAATAAAAAAGAAACTTCAGCTTCAAAAAAAATTTAAAAAGCCTTTAACATTTACATATTAGTGAAAAAATTTTTCATTGAAATTATTTTTCCACTAATACACAGCAAACACTAGTTTCCCTGGGTGGGCGGGGGATAGAAATTTTGGCTAGGGGCATAATTTTGAGACAAGAAAGAATCCTTAATTCTTTCCATCTACCCCCCACCTTCTATAGCAAGGTCTTGGTTTGAGTTTGTATAAGTAGCCTTTAAAATAATTCTAGTTTGTTTTTCCTGAAATTATGGACTAGGCTTAACAATAGCAGGTGGAAGGTATGAATACTTATTAAACTGTAACTGGTTTAAGGTTATTAAGCTTCTACCCTTTAAAAAGGCAGATGTGGCTAATTATGATTCCAGATTGGATTTCAATTATCCTACCATCTTCTCCTTAACACACAACAAGAGCTACTGTGAACTGCAGTGGAAACTTAACCCGCCTCTCCTTCATTTGCAAACTGATTAATAGAAGCTTACTGTTCCCACTGACTGGTGCCCATGGTTCACACAATGCTCACAGCTACTACTGCCTTCACAATTATAGTAAGTCATATTCTGTACAAAGTTCACAAACTTATTTCTGTCAGCAATATCTGTTATGATAATCTAACTTATGTCAATCAATGAAATGTGAGTTTTAAAAGTTAAGTGAAACCACACTGAATCACTGAATGATACAGTCTAAAAGGAAAGGAGAGAGACTTTCGAATTGATATCCTGGAGCATATGGAAGACTTCAGTGATGAGTCTGAACCTTGACAGGAGGAATTTTAATGGGAGTAAACAGGACTGCCAGATAAAATACAGCACACCCCATTACATTTGAATTTCGGAAAACAAATAATTTAGTAAAAAATTTGTAGCATAAATAAGTCCCATGCAAAATTTGCCATTTATTTTTATGTACTAAATGTGGTAACCCTAAGAATGAGCAGATTTACTTTTTAAGACACTCTGCCTTGAGAAAAGATCTGTATCTAGCCCCCTTCAATTAGAAAATGAATCCTCCCACCACTGATGACTTACTGGGCCTGGAGATATCTTTCCGCTCTGTCTCCTGGAACTGGGTGTCTGGGATGATGGACTTCGTGGAGATGAAGTCTCAGCCTTCCGTTTGGCCGCCATAGCCAACAACCAGTTTTTATTCTCTGGGGAGTTATTCTCTTTGCCTATCACTTCAGACCCTTCTCCACAAGGTCTCAAAGGAAGAGGTAGTGTTCCACAGCTTTCTGAAGTGTAAGGGCTGACAGGAGAAGGAGGCTCCGAGATACTCGTACTAGCACCTTCAAGCTTGCTTGATTTGGGAGGACCTAGAGAGTCCTTGCTAAGGTCTTCCTGGTTGGCAGCAAGGCAGCACAGATCCAAATGTAGATTTTCAACTTGGCCATCAAGCTCAGTCACACAGTTGCAACTCTTCACACACTTTTGTTTCACACTCTCCATACAGCTTGAGTCTAGCCGCCTCTTCACTCTATTTCTAGACTCAGAGCAAGTGTCTGCTTGGGATGACTTCTGGCTCACAGGAATGAGGGCTTTTCTTGGAGATGTGATCTTTGTCTCAGAAGCAGGTGGAGTAATAGGTGGTGATGAGGAAGGTGTTCGGGTCACCCAGTTTCTAATTGACATCTTGAAAGATGAGAGTGGCTTGGGAGAGACAGAAGAAATGGATCCTCTTTTGATTGGAGACCGGGCCTTGGCAGGAGGGGTTTTAATTGAGAATGTGGGTGTATTTGAAGGAAGAGGGAGGTCTCCAGCGCAGCTTGGAGCACAAGCTGCTGATGAGGGGGAGGAAATGGACGGACTGCTCTTTACCCTGGGGGCTTTGGCAGGAGTACTCTGGCTACTTGTTACTGTTACTGAAAAATGAAAAGAGTATCATGAAAATCCGAAGTGAAAGCTGTTATAAGTCCCTGAATTCTCATCAAGGAAAATTATAGCTAACTTAATCATCCACAGGTCAATTTGCCAGTAAGTAGGTTATATCAATCATTTGATTCCTATTATATCCATTTAGCATTTTCCTTCTTCCCCAACTGCTAGCTTTCCAACTACCTTGTTGTAAAACATTTACTTGTAAAAATCCAGAAAATGCAAAGAAAAGTCTCAAACCAAGGTATCCACTTTTAGCATTGTTTGTATGTATGTGCACATATATATATATACCTTAAAGTTTTCCTATGCAAAGAGATTAAAATGTATACCCTATTTATTAATCTTCTTTTTTCTCTAAGAAATTATATTTATGGCATACAATAGGATGTTCTGACATATGTATACAATGTAGAATGATTAAAGCAAGCCAATATATCCATCACCTCATACTTTTTTTTGTTGACAACATTTAAAATCTGTTTTAGGAATTTAAATATATAGTACATTAACTGTAATTACCAGCAAACTCCAGAACTTATTTCATGTGTTTCATATATATATGTGTGTGTATGTGTATATACATACATATACATTGACTAACATCTTCCCATTTGCCTTCTCACTCAGCCCTGATAATAACCATTCTATTGTCTGCTTCTATGAATTTAATGTTTTTAGATTCCACATTTGAGAGAGACCATGCTGTTTTTCTTCCTGTGTCTGTTTTATTTCTGTTAATGTCTACAAATGACCAAAGGCGAAACAGTATTCCATTGTGTATCTATACCAAATTTTCTTTATCCACTCATTTGCTGATGGACAATTAGGTTGAGTTCCTATCTTGGATGTTGTAAATAATGCTGCAGTGAATATGTAAGTGCAGATGTCCACCCCACATACTGATTTCATCTTCTTTGGCTATATACCAAGAAGTGGAATTGCTGGATCATATGGTAGTTCTATTTCTAGTTTTTTTGAGAAACATCTATACCATTTTCCATAAAATGGTTGAGCTAATTTACATTCTCACCAACAGTGTACAAAAGGTTCCCTTTCCTTCACATCCTCACCAACACTTACTACCTCTTGTCTTTTTTGATAAAAGCCATTCTAACACATGTGAGGTAATATCTTATTGTGGTTTACCACAACTACCCTGATTATTAGTGATGTTGAGCATTTTTTCACACCCTGGTTGGCCATTTGTTTGTCTTTTTGAGAAATATCTACTAAGGACTTTTGCCTGTTTTAAAATAACATGCCTTTTAATATATCATAAACACTACCCACACAAATACAGATTTACATTACCATTTTTAATAGCTACAAAGGAATAGATGCTCTGTAACACACCTATATGTACTCGGCAGTGGATTCTAAGAGTAAGACAGGTTGTTTATGGTATTTTGGTTTCATAAGTAAAGCTGCCATTAGTTTTCTTATATATTTGACTAATGCTAAGGTAGAGGCACTGCATAGGGGCTTTGAAACAGAAATGCTCAGGTCTAAAATCTGGTGCACTTACTATGACTTGGGCAAGATTATCTGACTCATCTTTCCACATCTGTTAAACAAAAATAGTTTTTATCTCCACAAGAAGTAATTCTATCAATTATCTGATGTTATCAGGCTTCACAGTGACTTTCCAGCTTAATTTACAAATGATTATGATTTTCCACAAACCACAGAATGCCAAAGAACATTCAGAATCTCAACTGAAATTTGCTTGCTCCCTGTAAAGCAAATCAAACTTAGTGAATTGGACTCTTCTCTGTGTTCTTGTCCCTTTGTTTATATATGATGGCAAGTACTTCAGGCAAATTCTTACTATGGCATGCTTTTCTCCTCTTAGGCTATACCACAGTCAACACTGCATTTTATCACTTAATTTCTGAGCTTTACAGATTTCTGAAATTATGTTTCTGTTTTCAAATAACAAGAAAGGGATCTATTTCTCAGTCACAAAATCTTTGAGTTGTCACTGATATTTAATGCAGTTTATTAATGAATTGCATTTACATGCAAGCGAATTTAGAATGTGGAGATATAAAAATGCAATCTCTCAGTAGGACTAAAGATCTCTAGGACTATTTTAGTCAGTTTATTGTCCTATCCTTTTTATTCTTTGCTTTTCATTACCCAGTCTTGCCTGAGATAGAACATTTTTATGAATTGACTTTTGCCTAAACGTTTCTCCTCACATGTGTTTAGAACAAGTCTAAGTGAAGTTCTCCTTCAGTGAAGATCATTAGTGGGAAGCCTCATTTTATCACAATGTGCTATGGAAAGGAATTCGTAATGGTGACCTGTTAGTGGATCTTCCAGCTATAGGCCCCACACATGTGTCCTAGAGTGTGATTACAGTTATTATTTCAGGGGGAAAGGAAGTTTTCACTTGCTGCACTCCTCAGTACAGGCAACAGTCACTGCACAGCTGACATAGTCACATACTCCATTAAAAAGTCAAAGTGGGCAGAAAGTCCTAAAATAGTATGGGTCTTATAATATACCAATTCTAAGGCAAGATTAGGGGAAAAGGAAGAGGGACAGGGACAGATCAGTTATTCAAGTTTCTGATACTTGCATGACACACACTGGAAGTGTTTACTAAAGATCAGAAGAAATCTGATGTGTTAGAAATTTGGGGCATTTCCTCTTTCTTCAGAATGTTATAACCTTGGAGGTCAAAGAGATTTTGTTAACACTGAAGGTTAGCAAAACTCTGGGTCAAATTTAGATTTTTTTGAATTTGTAAACTAGATTATGAAGGTATGAAATCTCATGATAAAAAATACAAACAGTATAAAGGGGAAGAAGGTGAAGAGTAAAAAGTTCTCTTTTGAAAGTTCTCATTTCACTTGTATATTCTTATGCCACGTCACGCTTTTCTATATGCTTAGCACACAAAAGGCATATGTACATATTATCTTTAAAAAACTCAACCAATTATATATGTACTTGTTCTGCAACTTGCTCTTTTTAATCTTCTCCATATCTCTTCATAAGTATACACAAAATGCACTGCATGCTAATAGTATGCTACTATACTGGCTTATAAATCTAAATATGACATGCCATTCTGTACTTCATCTACTTCTACCAATCCCTTATAATCCAAGTATGAGATGTGAAGATACACAGCATAGAGTGGGTTACTTAAAGTCAGTACCTTTGAGGAATTCTAGAGCGCTCAATCAGTCAATGAAAAGTTTCTTTCTATATGAAGGCTAGTCATCTGGTCTCACCCCACCTTTTCAGTCTTACATGTACTATGCTTCTTTAGGATCTTGTTTTAAGACTACTCACTACTTCCTGAACAACTTGCACATTGTTGTATCATTGTATTTGTTCATGTGATATTCTTGGTCCCTTCTTTGCCAGGCAAAATTTCTTCTCATTTTCAAGGTTCTGATGATAATGTTAACTCCATCGTAAAGTGCTCACAAACTTCTTTCCTCCTCTCCCAAAGAAAGTGGGTTTTCAGAGCCCTTCTTTAATACAACTAGGAGAAACACTTACAATGTACTGTAGTTTATGCATCTGCTTCATAGACTAGGTTGTGAGCTTAAAGGGCAGTTGATGATGATTTACTTATCTTTAGGCCCAGTGCTCCTGTAGTGCCTAAGGGATTATTAAACAATATTACATTTAATTTCTGGTAAGAAGGATAAGGATTATTAGGAAGCTGATTATAATTATTCTGCTTCCTTATAAGACTACAGCAAACATTGAGATAGAATAGGTAAGATTTCCTTTAATTTAAGATTAGGATAATCATCTTTATCACTCAATAATGCCTAGACCAGGGGTTCTCAATACTGACTGCATAGCAGACTCAATCTCAAGGTTTATATATATAAAAAACCAAGAAACCGAAAAAACTACCTGGAATCCACTCTAGTCATACTGAATCAATCACTGGGGATGTATAAACCTTCAAAAAGTTCCACAAATGGTTCTGATACCCAGCCAAGACTAAGAACCCTTGGCCTCAGCAGGGCTATGAGATGTCTAGTTGAACCACAGTGAAATAAATGTAGCAACAGAGTGGGTGCTGTCTAGGAAAAGTAGGTTAGAGGGAAGAGAAGCTGTGCCTTGGCAATTAAAACTTTCCAGTTAGTGTTAGAAGGGCCAGAAGAGAAGATCTGAACCTAAGACAACAATGAAAAGCTAGAGCATCAATTGGAAGCTTGGGAAAACAGGGGAACTAAATTCTCAAAATGCCAAAGCAGCCAACAGCAGCGAATCTGTTGCCGACAGCTGGCTTAGCAGGTCAAATGGCCAGTGTGCCAGCCTCTGGCACCCATGCCAGGTTGTTACTGTAGTGTTCTCAAAGTAAAGCTAGCATCAGCTGAAAATGAGAGAAATGTGGGCATAATTCCTGATCTGGTCTCAACCTGAACTTTGCTTTGCTCTGTTAGGTCCTAAAGGAGGCAGTACTGCAGGGAGTTTCCAAGCATCTGCTCGCTAATCAGACTGCAAGAGTCAGAACTTTCGTTCTAATTAAAACTTAATAGTGTGTGATCTCAGGCAAGTCTAACCTTCTTGATCTTCAGTTGCAGTTATTTTTGGAATTAATAAACAAATCTAATCTGGACCTTAGGACAATTGTGCTACAACTTAATAATGGTTAACTATTGTTATTATAGTACAAATTTGGTTAATATGTACAATGAGTTGGCTTCTAAAACTAGTAATAATCAATGACACACTAAAAATACCTAGCTAAAGGCAAGATATTTTCATCAAAAAAATTTAAAGGTGGTTATATGCATTGACATAGGAATTCCACCGCTGGGAAACTATCTTAATGGGAAAAGGAGCCTCTGATTCAGGGAGGAAAAACCCCAATTTTTAACAAAATATTGGAAAGAAAATGTCTAACTACGAGAGAACAGCTAGGTAAACTATGGAATATTTACTCATTGAAATATTTTAAATTGTGTTGCAAAAGAGATAAAGTGCCTAAAATATCAAGGTCAATGAAAAAAAGCTCCCCCCAAATCAAAATATACATACAGTAAAACTAAAGTTGTGTTAATCTTTGTACATAATGGGAGAAAAAGTAAAAAAAAAAGGTCCCAAGACCTTTTTTGGTCACAGACCTAGAATTCTTAAAAACAACAAAAACCCTAGAAAAAAACGTAGGAGTAAAATCTTTGTGACCTTTGGATAGACAAAAGCTTCTTTTACATGACACTAAAAGCACAAATGGCAATGCAATTATATAATATGGGCTTTATACCCAGAATATATAAAGAATAGAAAATATTTATTTTATTAGGATATATTCATGGTACAGGGAGGATTCATCGTTGACAATTCCAAATAGGCTTATATTATACATTAGTTAGATCGTCCCCACCATCTCTATATAAAGAATTTTTACAACTCAGAAATAATAAGACAAATAACCAAATTAAAATATGGGGAGAGGATGGAGGCATGGCTCAAATGATAGAGCACCTGCCTAGCAAGCACAAGGCCCAAAGTTCAAATACCGGTACCACCACCAGTAACACACACACACACACACACACACACAGGCAAAAGATCTGTACAGGCATTTCACAAAGAAAAAGAAAATATACAAATGGCTAATGGGCAAATAAAAAGATGGTCAAGATCACTGGCCATCATTAATTATAAATCAAACCCACAATGGAATATCACTTTATACCCAGTAGACTGGATATAATTAAAAATATGAACAATAGAAATGTTAGCAAGGACATAGACAAACTGTAATTGTCATTTGGGTATTGAAAATATTCCAGAATTATACTGATAACTGTACAACTCTGACTATACTAAAACTCACTGAATTATATCTTGATCTGACTGTAAGTAGGACCTTGTATTTTAGGAGGATGGGGATTATGTAGGTTTCAGAGTGGTGGGACACAGGAAAGGGAGCTAATTTTCATTTCACAAAGGAAAGATGTCAACAAAGCTGAAAACTGCAAAAAATAAACAGATATATGTAACATTATTTAGAGGTATAAACACACACGCATTAAAAAAATCAGCTAACAGATTTGAAAATGGTTGCCTCTAGGAAAAGGAAACAGGGGCAGAGGGTCTGGGGACTGCTGTTCACCTTATTCACTTTTGTAGAGCTAGCTGACTTATCAAACTATAACACTAATAAAAATTAAAGACAAAAATAAAGAAATAAAAATCCCAAACCCCCAAAATACACCAAATAAGGAAGCATCATCAAAGACTACAGAAAGCAGACTAAGAACAAAGCCACCTCTGAAGTCTACTTTTGTCATTGAGAAAAGTTATCATATCAAAAGAAAACTTGCCCAAGTTCTGACCATCCCATCTCTCCACTTACCTACATAGTCCTTATGTATTCTGTCTTTTCTCCAATTACTATGGACCAACTAACTCCCCATGCTGCTGGCAAAGGTCTCAACGTCTACATATATGTTAGCATTTCATGTTTATCCAAAGACTATTCCTGCAAATTTCCCTATATCAACCCCCCCTTCTAATAACACAAAACAAAACTGCCACCAAATTTTAACACCACTTCTTCCAGCTACTTCACTCTACTTTATAGCAAAACTCCTCGACAGAGTTCTTTTCTCCTATCAGCCTGAATGATACCAATGAAGTCACCATTAGTCCACTGAAGCCACTCATTAAGGCTGTTAACCCCAACAATTAAGAATCCAAAGGTCATTTTTTAGGCCTCATCTTATTTGCTATTTAGGATAATCTGATCAATTTTAGCCCTCTTTCCTCCATTATTTACTTAACTTCTGGGGCATAATACTCCACTGAATCTTTTTCTTCTCAAGTTGTGCCTGATCAATAGCATTTAATGGTATTTGTCACTTGCTTGACCTTTAAACACTGGTTGCTCCACAGTTGATACCCCAGCTCTATTCTCTTCTGAATTTACAGCTATTTTTACTTGTATCACAATGAACCCCAAATTTACACCTCCAGTTGTGAACTGCACAATTAAACTTCAGTCTTCCTGACATCTCCATTTACATGTCTAATAATCACAATATATCTAAATGGAACTCCAGCTTCCCTCCCAAACCTGCAGGGATTCTTCCTACCTAGGTAAAGAAATTCTATCCTTCTGGGTTCTCAAGCAAAAACTCTGAAATCATCCTTGATAATATCCTCTTACACACCTCAGCATATTCTGTTGACTTTATCTTATAAATATACCCAGAATTTGATGGCTTTAAAAAAATTATTTTTTCCACAGATTTTGATATCCCATTTTATTTTGTTTTCTCTCTCTTTACACATTTTGTTTGTTTCGTTTTATTTTCTTGAGACAGGGTCTCGCTAGGTAGCCCATGCTGGCCTCGAATTCATGATATTCCTACCTTAGCCTCCTGAGTGATAGGATTATAGGTGGGAAATACCACATCCAACTTTGATGACTTCTTATCATATCTTCTGCTACCACTTGGGTCTAAGCCACTATTAGCACTTCTTGAATTACCTCAATGACTTTTAAAATTAGCTTCTTGCTTTGCATCTTCATCCTCTTATAATTTATTCTCAACACAAGAGCAAGAATGTTCAAGTTAAACATCAGATCATGATAATCCTCTGTTTAAAACTCTCAGGTGGCTTTTCGTCAGTCAAAATAAAAGCCAAAGTCTTACAAGAACCCCATTTTTACTTTTGTTCTCTTCCCTCTCCTTTTCCTGCTCCAGCCATTGGGGCTATTGCCACATTAGCTTCTTTGAGGAAGAGAAATATGCCAAGCTTACTTCTGCTTCAGGCCCTTGTACTTGCTATCTTGTCTGCCTGAAATATTCTGTAAAATATCCATAGGACTTACCATTTATTTAATGTTCTTTATTCAAAATCATTTTTCATTGAGGCCTCCCTGTCCTCCTAACAGAAAAATTTAACAGCACACTTTGCCATTCTTCCTTTTCTATTTTCCTGAGCACTTGATCGTTACTTGATATAGTACATATTTTACTTCTTATTTATTGCCTCTCATACTAATATATAAACCCTGCTTATATCTTTGGGATTTGTGATTCTTTTGTTCACTGCTGAACAAAAGTAAGTAACTGAAAACTGTGACCAACATATAGTAGGTATTTAATACTCATTGAACAAATCCACCACTGTATTCCAGTGCTTTGTGTAAATGGTAAATATTGTGCAGACAGTATTATTCGAAAAGAACAAAGCCAAGGAGATGGTGCTTTTCTTTAAAAGCATACCAAAACAAGATCAACTCTAGCTTCCAACTACATACCGTAGGACAAAGCCAACAAAACCATAAAAAACTTACCTAGGCCAGCTCTTATCTCTTTTTTCTTCTGAGAGGCCCAGCCCACTATGGAATGTTTATCTCCTCCTGGTTTCTCCTCCAAGCCTCTATTCAAGCGCCAGATTTTTAGTGTATTGTCATCAGAGCACGTAGCAATCTAAGAAGAATCAGGAAGGGAGTGATGAAGTTTCAAAGATTCATAAAAATAGATATGCCTTAGGAGCTCATGGACTGGAGAATTATTTTGTCTGCTATAACATGATACAGAAAATAGTATCTGAGATAGCACATACTTCCTTCCTTGCTTGCTTTCAGGAATCACTACAGATTTCCAAGGAAGCAAATTCTCTGGTTTCTTTTTTTATATAGTTTCTCTTGATTCGACTTTCATTACCAATAATTTCTTACTTAAATTTAAAACTTTACTATAACAGGCTCATTTCATTTTCTTAAAACACCAGGCAACTCATTATCTTTACTGCCTTCTACATAACCATGAAATATGTAATTAAGATACCCTTTTTGCTAAATGATCAGTGTATATCACCAACATTCAGTTTTTATGAGTTTCTTCTGAATTTTGCATGCTCTGCCTTATTGCTAAAGTAATGGGATCATTTCTAATATCAGACTTAGCTCATGACTCTAGTAGGCTGTGACAAGTACAATGAAACTATTCCTCTGAGATTTTTCAGATAGGTAAAGGAGCAATCTGGGAAAAGAACAAGTTCAGTAGGCTGAAAGAAGTTAAAAATAACCTTTGCCCCTTTAAAAATATCTGACCATTCCTGATCTTGGTCCCAAGCCTTTTATGGCAGAGAAAGCCCAGCTTGAAGAGCTTGTGGCAAATGGCCACTGGTACCAGAGCTATTCCTCAGCATTTGTTTATGTAATTTCTCTATTTCAGTCACTAAAGAGAGAGAAAAAAAGAACACACATTCTCTCAAGTCTTTGCCCCCAAGAGACTGGTAGCTTTTTCCTTTCCTTAATGGGAGGCCAAAAGAAGATACGTATTTTACCACTCAATAAGAGATGCTTAGAATCTACAATCACTCTGTAGTGACAGTAACAGTAATTATTTACAGAGCACCTACTATATGTCTGGTAATTTATATATTATTTATCTTATTTAAAAAGCCTTGAACTCAAATAAGCTGTTCTGTAAAATGAGAAGTTACTTTCTTGAAGTAGTTTTCACCTTAAATTAAAAACTTAATTCTATACTTAGAGAAGGAATAACTCTCAGGAACCAGAAATCCAACCTTATTCCTTAGTGCATAATATGATTTCTCTATTAGTAGACAAAAGCAGAATATGTATATAAGTAATACTGACATAGATCCTGGATGACCTCTACATCTAAATTTCTAAAAGAGAAGTCTTTATCACTCTCAAAATAAACCTTATGAAAGCCTATACCCATGTGATCTGTTTTTTAAAATCAATTACAGATTTTTTTCACAAACCTTTGTGAAGTCAGATGGACACCAGCACACAGATGTGACCTCTTGAGAATGACCCAGGAGCACAGTAGGAGGATGCCAGGGAATAGAGACCTAGCCCAATCAAAAAGAGACAAGTCATCAGAACAGTGTTAGGCTGTGATCTTCCTAACTGTGCCACTGATAGCTTTAGACTTTTACCAAAGGCCCCTACACCTGCCTAGCTATAGTTCAGAAAACAGAGTTCTAATGGGTAATAAAGTTTTTGTCAATGATCTGAGAAAACACAATGAAAGTAGTCAGAATAAGTAAGGAATATAAGCTTAGATACCAGAACAGGTAGTACACTTCAAAAGAAGAGTCAGCCCTTTCTTTACACAGCCAGGATATTTTCAGATCTTCTCTGGTTAGCTACTTCCAGGAAAAGTAATTAACTATGAATCCTGAAGGTACCTGAAACATGCCACCAGCTCTCTTGGGAGAAGATGACAGTTTTCCTTCCAAAAGAGACTCATTGACTTTTACCAAAATCCAAGGTTTTATCCCTTCACTTTGAGCTAAGATAACCTTTACTAAGTTAAGTCTCACCACATTTCACTATATCTTAGTGAATAAAGAAGGGTCACATTGCGTGTACTGCACATGTGATTAAGAATATTATCTCATCACTAGATGCCACCAGTGATGCAGATTTGATAGCAATGGACAGTTAATTCATTTAAGAGCTGTCAATACCTTTTACAGGTCATAGGAATTAACTAGCACAATAAAGAGTACAAGCCCACATAACTGTTATTAGCATATGTGTTTGAAGAGAGCAAGCAATCTAGAGCTAAGAGAAGTTATTCTTTTCGTTTTTTGAGGATCTGAATCATGGTTCATTTGTATGAAGAAAGTGGAGGTAAATGTGGAAAGATTATCTGTGAGAATGACTAAGTAAACTTAATAAACTCCTTAGATTACAGTTAAAAGAGATTCGACACTGATTTCTAAGGTTATCCAACTCAATTATTACTACTCTTCTCTTAGGTTAGATGGCACATTGCAATAATTCAAAAAGTTAAAAGAAGATAGAGCAGAGTCTAATTTGCTTTGCTGAGTTTTTAATTAACATCTAACAGAAGCTTTTTTTTTCGTATCTACAAAGATCTGATTGCCTACTTCTACAATGCTAACAACAATGTCATTCTTTCTTGGGTAACATATATTTAAAAAGGACTTTAAAGACAGCCTTCAGCTATCCTAACAGTCACAGGAATTCTCCTTCCTCTTCCATTTGGAATGGTTACAGTCCGTTAAGTTTTCTTAACCCAAGGCCCAAAATAAGCCTAGTATTCATAATTAACAGGGAGAGGAAATCCTTATGTCCTTTTGAACATCCCCAGTAGGAACACATTATTCTCCTTTAAACCACTGCCCTTTGCCTCTAGGTTTTCATTTCATGATACTGCCCTTCCTTAGTTTCTGTGTCATAATACCTAGTAGAACCTAAACGTGGATACAAAGGATTAAAATAAGTTTTAAGAAAGACCAGATTCCTGCCAAAAGGATGTATGTAGTCTTGCACTTATCTATATAGCCTCAGAGAAAGAACAGATCTTTGGAAAAACGTTTTACCATCCGATACGGTAGTAACCATACTAGCAATACAAGTCAGTATTTGTTGATTGAATATATAAGCCAGGCATTTCAAATAGCATTATAAGTGGGGGAAAGATTCCTCAAAAAGTTAGAACATGGAATTAAGTATCATATCACCTGGAAATTCTACTCTTTGTAGGTACCCTAGGAGGACTGAAACATGTACAGACAAAAACTTTTACACACACCTGCCTCACAACTGTTGAGGCCCTGAGTTCAAGCCCTAGTACCACTAAAAAAACTCACAATCAAACCAACAACAAAAGAACCCGGAACAAAAATCTATATATAAGTGTTCATAGTGGCTTTAAGCAGAAAGCAAAAAAGAAAAAATAGAAAACAACTCAAATGACCATCAACTGACAAATGGATTTAAAAAAGTGCTGCAATGCATACAATAATACAGTGGAGTACCATAAAAAAGAACGAAGTACTATAAATAAACAACATGGATGAACCTGGATAATACTAAGTAAAAGAAGTCAGACACAAAATGCCATGTATTGGACTGGGAGAATGACTCATGTGGTAGAGTGCTTGCCCAGCAAGTGCAAAGTGCTGAGTTCAATCCTCAATACCACCAAAATCTGAAATGACAACAAGAAAACCTAAAAGCCACATATGGTGTGCATGAAATATTCAAAATAGGCACATCCACAGGGACAGAATATAGTTTAGTAGTTGTTGTGGGAGGGGAGAATGGAGAGAGATTGCTAATGGGTTTGTGATGGGAATTAAGGCAGTGGTGATGGTTGTATAACACTGTGATCATATCAAAAACTACTGAATTGTACACTTTAAAATGATTTCATGTTATATGAATTCTTTCCATATATATTTTTTGGCAGTGCTGAGGACTGAACCCAGGCTTCATACATGCTAAGCAAGCATTTCCATTGAGCTACACCCCCAGCCCAGGCTTGATTTATTATTATTATTATTTTTTAAAAAGACAGGGTTTTGCTTTGTACCCCAAGGCTGGTCACAAATTCAAGATTCTGCTGCCTCTGCCTCCCAGGTGCTGGGATTACACCACCATGCTTGGCTCCTGAATTCTATCTTAGTAAGAAAAAAGGCAGTGGTAGTGGCAGGAGAGCATGTTGTTGGATGAAAATAATCCCTAGTAAGTTTTTATGAACTTCAGCAATGAGTGCTTTGACAGTTTAGGACTGTACTAGGATGTAGTACCTGATGACTATTTCAAAAAAGGTCAATATCTTCTAATGAACTCAGATGGCTTTTAAATTCCTCATTTTCATTCAAATATGTTTTTATTATCAGTATGTCATAAGAACATTACCACAATTATACCATTTCATTTTAACAAAGCCCCCTTCTTTCAAATAGGAAAGAGATTACTTTAAAATTTAAAAGACATTTATATGTAAGCATTTTGGGGATGGTCAAACACAGAAAACTGTCCTCTCTTTACATATTTTACTTTTTATAGAATACTCAAGGCACAAAGATCTCAAAGTTAAAATGACAAAGGTACATCTAGAAGTGAAGAGCTCTATCAGGCCTCTTAAAGCACTTTGTGTACTTAAACATACAAAAAAAAGATCAGCACTTTTCTTCACAAAATCTCTTTACATGCCCAGTTGGAAACCAAATCTAATCTTTATTTCTGCCATGAGATCATTTACACTTCCTAAAGTGTCAGGCTCAATGTTTTGCCAGTCAGCGGTAGAATAGCATGCCAAATCAGTTTATTTATAACCACTTCAATTCTATTCAGATGCTCTCTCAGAAACAACCAGGGCAGAGAAGGTACGGGTAGAGGTGGGGCAACGGAGGAAATGTAGAATGGTAAATCTTTTTTTTTAAGTCTTGGTTCTCAGTATCAGAGAGTCTAAAGTAAACACATCCCCCCCTTTGCTGGGCAATAGTGAGGATTAAAAGGCCATTCTCTTTTGTCATAAGATAAGACGCTCCTTTACTGTTTATCTTTGTGGGCTTTTTAGCACAGAAAAATTGCAGCAGTTAAAAACAATTCTGACCTACTGGAAACACAGAATTATAAAACCTAACAGTTTGGAGACTCAGCTTACATGGAAGTACTTTAAAATTACCACACCCTTTTTTTAAATCATGAAAGAGAAACTGAGCTACCCCACTAGGCAAATTCAATTTTAGGAGCAGCAAGCTTGCCAGGATCTCAAATATCAGGGCTTGCACACTGAGTTATGTGTGAATAGGCAGGAGAACATCACGTCTGAACTACGTCATTCAGCGGTGACATGTGACCCAACCTAGGCATTCAGAAAGGGTCACCCATGTATGTGGTAGCCACTGACTGGATGCCTGAAAATGGGTTAGAAACAACAGTGTGTGTCTTTAAAGGGAACAAGTATCCCCCCTCAGCTCTCACTCACTAGAACAAAAATTTTAAAAGGCCTTTGTGCTAAAGAAGAGTTTAGAGAAATTTTAAAACTTGGCAGGAAAATTATATATATATACACACACACATATACAAACATGATACAATATATAATTATATACCTAGTTATGTATAATTTAAAAACTTATCTAAGATGATTTTAAAAGAATGATTGGCACATAGGTATTTTTATATGTAATCCTTTACTACAATTTTTGGTTCAGTTGGTTTTTTTCTTTTAGGAAAGAAACTTTGAAAAGATACAAACTTATATGAATACAATTCTCTAATTTTTTTTTTTTTTCATTTTTCTTTTATTATTCATATGTGCATACAAGGCTTGGTTTATTTCTCCCCCCTACAATTCTCTAATTAAGTTGGGAGCTGAAGCAGAAAAATAAATGTAGTTAAGACAGTGAGGGAATGAGAAAGGGAAAACAAGAATATGTCAAAATAAACATAAGAACAAATTTGAAACTCAGATTTTTAAATGTAAGACAAGGCTTGGTACGAGTGACACATACTGATAAAGTTTAAAGCTCAAAAAAAGAATTTTATAGAGGACATGAGGCAAAAACTACTTTCATAAGATGAAATCTCAAGTACATAGTTTGTAAGCAAACTGTCATTTAAAAATACAACAAATAAAAGAAATGTGCTTCTAGAAAGAGGCAGGCCCAACATAAAGGGATCTGGATAGAACAATAGCTCCACCTTGCGATCATTTAGGATACTGTTCCTAAATGCTTTCAATAAGGCAATGTTGCGTTTTTGCAACTCTCGGTATACAGAAAACACTCTTTTGTACTTCCCCTAGGACTTTTTCTCCATTAGACTTTAAATAGACAGTTTTAAATTTCTTAGCGTAGAAGTCACTTTAGAATTATGAATACTTAAAATGGTTTTTTTTTATTTTATTTTTTTTCATTTTTCTTTTATTATTCATATGTGCATAAAAGGCTTGGTTCATTTCTCCCCCCTGCCCCCACCCCCTCCCTTACCACCCACTCAGCCCCCTCCCTCCCCCCCCCCCAATACCCAGCAGAAACTATTTTGCCCTTATTTCTAATTTTGTTGTAGAGAGAGTATAAGCAATAATAGGAAGGAACAGGGGTTTTTGCTGGTTGAGATAAGGATAGCTATACAGGGCATTGACTCACTTAAAATGTTAAAAAAGTATAAATTTGTTTAATTTTAAATAGCAAAAGGAAATTTATAGAATTAAAAAAAAACACTAAATGGTGTTATTAAATATATTTTAAAAGGACGGGTGTGGCAATTCACATCTGTAATCCAGTACTAGGGAGGTGGAGATAAGAAGATTGTGGTTTCAAGCCAGCCTGGGCAAAAAATGTTAGTAAGACCCCCATCTCAACAAATAAACAGAATCTGGTGGTGCATTATGTATAATCCCAGCTATGTGGGAGGTGTAGGTAGAAGAATCGTAGTCCAAGGTCAGCTCAGGCAAAAAGTGAGAGACCCTATCTAAAAAATAACTAAAGCAAAAGGGCCAGAGGCATGGCTCAAGCGGTAAAGCACTTGCCTATCAAGTGCAAGGTCCTGAGTTGCCAACCCCAGGACCACTCAAAAAATAAAGTGGCCATACCTATTATACCTTTTTTTTTTTTTTATTTTTTTTTGGTGAAGTGGGACTGAGGTTTGAACTCAGGGCTTCATGCTTGCAAGCTTGAGCTACACCTCCAAGCAGGCTGACCTCGAACTGCAATCCTCCTGATCTCAGCTTCCCAAGTAGCTAGGATTACAGCCACCACCACCTGGCTTGCCATACCTATTTTAATACCTTGAAGAAAGAATAAAGAATGCAATATTATACAAATAGTTTTGAGTGACTGTTTTGTGCAAGGCTGTTTGAGTTATTCAAGTTAGGACCTTAGGAATCAGAAGACTATTTTAAAAGAGTTTGAAAACACGGAGCAGAAAGGTGGTGCATGTTTTCTAAGGGAGCAAGAAAAATTGTTAAATATTCTTATTACCCTTCTGAATTCTCTTCGTGAAACAGAGGATACAGAATCAATTTCTGATAAGCAATGGCCATAAAAAAAAACATATATTCTTTGACAGAGCGAGCTTTAAGTGAACGAAGATGCAACCTTTATCAAGTATCTGATGCAGAAAGGTTAATGGTATTTGTTTCTATTAAACTTACCTCATATTAGACAGAATAAATATTTGCAAGAATAATCCAGTCTTACATTTGTGAGGGAAGTTTGGTAACTCACCTTCCAGATATAAGCAGCTTCATCACTTGAGCCACTGAGTAAAAATTGGTCATCTGGACTAAGACTTGATTTTACATAAAAGGTAGAGTTCTGGTGTCCACTGAAGATAGCCACTGCAAGAGGGAAAACACAAATTGCTTGCCTGTTATTTCTGGTTTTCCAATGGATGCAGGCAGCTTATGTATCTGAACAAGTTTTATCACCATATTGATCACTGAAGCAGACTGTCAAGAAACTCTAGAAAGAAGCTTTGTATTAGACCTAATCTCATGAAATCATTCCAAATATTTGGTATGGAACTGGCCATAAAATAAGTGATAAAAAATGTCTTAAGACTGTAACTGTTTTCTCCACCCCAGCATAGGGCTTTTTCAATACAAAATACACTAATCTTACTTCTTATACTTCAAGCCTCTTGAGGGTACAGTTTGTATCTTACTCTTTCTTCTCTAGTCTTTATGCTTTGAACAGAGAAATATTTGTTACATGAAGAGGTAAAAACAGTAAAAAGAATAATTTGGATTCTGGCCAAGACTTACAGATAGTTTATCTGTGATGTGGGTATCTTTTTTTTAACTTTATAAATTGTAATTTTATTTTTACATTTCAAAATTTTAGTAGCATATAATGGCTATACAGGAGGATACACTGTGATATTTACATATGTGCTTATGATATATCTTGGTTGGATTTACCCCTCCACCATTTTCCCTCATTTCCTTCTACCCCTTCTTAGAACAATGAACAAGTTTCATTCTTCTATTTTCATATATGAATACAAAATACATGAGATGTGGGAAACTTTTGAACCACATCTCCAGCCTTTTTTGCTTTAGGTTATTTTTCAGATAATCTGGCAGATTTTTTTTTTTTTTTGGCCTGGGCTGGCTTCTGACCATGATTCTCCTATCTATGCCTCCTCCATTCCTGGGATTACAGATGAACGCTATCACACCCAACTTATTTGAGATGGGATCTTGTTAACTTTCTGCCCAGCTAGCTTTGAATCACAATCCTTCTGATCTCTGCCTCCTCCTGAGTAGCTGGGATTACAGGCACGGGCCACCACTCCTGCCAGATGTGAGAATCTTTTTAATCCAGCTCACAGACTATATGGTAGTAGTAGCTAGTGGGGCAAACTGTATGCTCATATCTAAGACACTAGGGGTTAGGTTTAGCTGTCGGGTTTGGGTTTCCCACTATCCATGGTGAAAGAGCAAATAACCATAACATGCTCTTGACAGGTTCTTTTAGAAGGTGCTCAAAACCTGAGACCTCTGGCACCAGAACACTGCTAGAAAATATAAAAGAAAATGTTCAGTTACTAGCAATGTTAAAGATAAATTTAGGCAAGAAAAAAAAAATCACACTTTTAAGAGTGGAGAGAAGCATTAGCAAGGGACTTGTCAGCTTTCTATAAGTGCTTGCAAAGTCCCTTCATTTTCTAGAATAAACTGGAGAGGAACTTTGCATTTAGTTTTAAAGTCCACATATCAAATGCTCCCCATATTAGATATTTTGCTGTGAAGGAATGGCATGAATCAACTCAGATACATGTTGTAAACCTGTTATAACAGATAAATCCATGCAAAATAAAGAGGTTTCTTTATTCTGAGAACACTGCTCCAAAACTATTATTATTCACCTTCAACTCTAAACTGTGAGTGGAAAACTACAGACCAAATTTCCCATTGAATCTCTAAGTCTGTATTGCCCTCTGTTGGTCAGGGAAAAGCTGATAAAGTACATTGTATATGCTTCAAATCTTGCTATAAGTCCTCCGAAAAACCTATAATGGCCTTTATTAACTTAATTTTGTTTGTTTGTTTGTTTGTTTTCAGGTAGGGTCTTACTATGCAACCCAGTCTGGCCTTGAACCCCAATTCTCTAGCCTCTCGAGTGCTGGGATCAGAGGTGTGTGCCACTACACCAGGCTTCAGTTTGATGATTTAGGTCTGAGATATGAACATCACTTAGTATAATACAATAGTGTTAATACAACATACAGTAAATCAAGTATTGCCAGGACCCTCTGAAGTCTTGACAAGGCAAGTATTTACTAGATTTTTTTATACACACACATGTGCCAGCATACAATGGTCATTCAAATTTGAAGGAACAAGTCAACTAATCTATCTATGAGAAGAATTCAAATTATTGTAGGAGTATAGAAGGTTACTAAATTATTAGTCCAGTGCTTGATGACAGAGAAACAAATTAAACAAGCCCCTTTACTACCAAACTACAGGAAAAAGTATATAAAAGAGCTCATGCACATCTGATAATATAATCAGGATCAGGCTTTATCTTTTGAGGAAAATTTTGAAAAGTCTATTTTACATGACTAAATTATCAGTTATCTGAACTCTAATTCCATTAAGGAAAACAGCAACAGAAATTCCAAGTAGAAAGGTTTAACATAATGTAACAGAAGTTCTAAAAGTTATAAAACCTCTTCCCTTTTCCAAATACTCTTACTTTTGTTTAAAGAACACCAGACCTAATCCAAGGCATCAGAAATGACAACTACAGTACTGCTACAGAGAGCAAAGTCCCCATAAGATTGCTTGGGAAAATATTTGGAAACTTCTCTAAGAGCACCACCAAAATATCCTAAATTCTGTACCATTGTGAAATTTCCCTTCCCTTTCTTTAGACTTTCTTGCCAGTGCTGGGACTTGAACTCAGGGCCTCACACTTACTAGCAGGCACTCTTACCACTTAAGCCATACCCTCAGCCCAAGATATTTACCAGCACATCTGGGAATTAAGTAGCTCTGGGAATTGGTTATGGAATTCAGAGTGTTTCTGACAGAGCTAGATGTGAAGAAGAACCAGGCTACTAACATGTAGCTTGCTTAAGTGAACAGTAATAGTTTTATAACCCAAACAACCCTCTTAAACCATGCTTGGGTTTAAAAAGAAACCTCAGTTTCTTTTTTAAATATCATTTATTAGTTTTAAGTATTAGATTTTACTTTTATATTCTTGAGGGGAAAAAAAAAAGTGAGGTTAAGGGAAAATACCTCGAGATAAAGTGTTGCTCTGTGGCCAACATTAAGGAAAAAGCCAAGGGAGGGTAGAACCATTTGGGAGGGGGGTTTGAAAAATTCAGGCCTTTAATTTTAACTAACAGCCCCCACAGAGGAATAAAGTTGAGCAGAACAGCTTTCTTTCTTTCCTTTTGTTTTGGGTGGTACCTATGTTTGAACTTAGGATCTTCATGCTTGATAGGCAGGAATGTTACCACTTGAGCCACTCTGCCAGCCCAGAACATCTTTCTTTATTCTGCAAGCTTATTAAATAGAAAATTTAAATAATCTTAAATATAGGCCAAAGGGATGATTTCAGGAGGCTCACTATGAAGAGCAGGATTCTATTTACTTGTGAAATGATCTCAAGAAAAGTACACCTTTGAAAACATCACTGAAACTAATTAAGGACGTCAAATTCCTCACATGACTTAATAAGTTGTGTCTAGAAAACCACTCCCAAACACTAAATTATCATTAACAAAAAAACCCATATTAATTTCCTGGTAAGAAAGTAAAATAAAATCTTACCTGGAGAAGTCTTTAATCCAGTCATATTGAACATATAGATGTTGTCATCTGTGCAATTAGCAAATAAAGTAGAGCCAGTAGAATCCAAAATCAGGCTTGAGTACCCTAGGAAAAGAGGATTTTAATTAGCACATCTTGATGATGATTAGTATACTGCAGGCTAAAATCTGAGGGCAAAAAAATAGTTCATTCCATGAGAAGAAACACCAGAATTCTTTGTTCCCCAAAATATATACAAATCAAAAATATTTTAAGTTTTTATCTTTTGAACTTCAGAAAGATACCACCACATATTAGAGTTTCTCAAGTCTTTGTTGCTGAACATTAGCCTTAAAAAAAAAAAAAAAAGTTTTTTTTTTAACAAAAATTCCCATCTCACCCCAAAAGTCCTACAATCAGTACAAAGGCTTACCTAGTTTTCGAGTGCTGCTACCTGGGTACAGAAAAGACTTGGAAGCTATGGGCTCTTGTCGGTAAGCTGTATAATTCTTACGTAAATCCCATACTTTGATTATCCTAAAAATCAACATAAATAGTTATTTTGTAGGCCCCTTTCCACCCCAATTCCACATATGCTGAATGTGCAATGACTTGATCTAACTCCTCAGGCACGTTTTCCAGGTACAGGGAGAACGTCTCACTGGGAAACACATTTAACATAGTATTGTTTCCAATGTTGAGCTTACAATTCTGACAGAAGGGAAACAGATGTGATCTGACCCAGTCACGGGTTACTGGAGTTCACTCCAAGGGAGCGGAAAGGAAGACGACGGTCGCTGCCCCGTTGTTTTTAGAAAACACAGTTCCGAAGCCTTTGATAATCTGTATATACCCTTTGACGTAAGCAGCAAGCTCTGTTCCTAAGGTTGTATCTTTATATATGACTCCTTAAGTAGTCTAGTCTAAACAAATTTTCCTATCAAAGGGGAAAAGTGTTTTTCATTTCATCTGTTGGGATAATTGTCTTAATCCTCTACTTCTAGTTTGTAGACAACTTGGAAACACAAACTTGGAATGAATGGCAGATATTTGGAAATAAACAGAGGAACCTTTCACAGCCATTCACAAACATAATAACTTATAATTTTTCATTCCTACCCAAGAATTTGGCTCACAGTAGAGTTCAGTGTCCAGAGGTGACAATGGAGATCCTAGGATAGTAAGCCACTATTTGTTTAAATTGACAATATTGGGGGTTTGAACCCAGGTTCTTGCTAGTGCCCTTGCAAGGCAGATGCTCTACCATTTGAATCACACACACAGTCCTTTTTTGCTTTTAGTTATTTTTTGGACAGGGTCTCATGCTTTTGCCTGGGCTAGCCTCAAACCATAATCCTTTTACCTATATCTCCTGCATAGCTAGGATTACAGATGTGGACCACCATGCCTGGCTTATTGGTTGAGATAGGGGGGCTCACAAACTTTTTGTTCAGGCTGGTCTTGAACCATGATCCTCCTGAGTAGCTGGGATTATAGATATATACTACCATGTCCAGTCTAAAGTTAAAAATTGAAGGCAGTTATGTATTGCAGATATAATGGGTAAAGAAGTAGGCTTAAAAAGAATCCCTACACATGAAGAACTTACCTTCTTCAATGTTTTAGCAGAGGACAAACCAATGAACAAGCGTCAGACTAGGAAGGCTAATTCAGACCAATCATGGATGGCAAGTATGTTAAAGTATTTGACCCTTTCTACAAATCATCTACTCCCAGAATTACCAATTACACACCCAGAATCAGATTTCTTCTCTTAAAGATATTCCTAAATCTGGGTAAAATCCAAAATGATAGAAAATTTACTCTGCAAAATAAGAATCAGTGAGAAATTATACTTCCATAAGTAAGCAAGCTATCCACCCAGCTTCCTTTCTGTAATAGAAGCATAGCAGCTCACACTTCTCTTATGTGTTAGCCAATGTGCTAAGTGTGACATGTATGCTATCATTTAATTGTTTCGGCAGTTCTAACCCATTGTTTTCCATTACAGTGTGATCTGCGGTTTTTCTTCTCAGCTGGGTACTACTGTCAAAAGGTATAAACATAAGTATTCACTTATAATGGGACTCTGTGACTTACCTATCACAGCTCATGAAAGCTACTTCATCAAAAGAAGCAAGAAACAAAATTTCTTACCCATCTACAGCTCCTGCTGAGACTAATGTATTCTCATCTTGAAAGAGGACCACGGTAACACTCTGCTGGAAATCCTAAGAGCACAAGAAAGAAAAGGAAGGAAATTCTGTCTGGGGTGTCACAATCTTCACCATAAAGAGAACAAAGTGCTTCAGAATGGCTTTTCTCCCTGAACTCTGAATTAGACTAAATCTTCTTTTCCCAATAATCCTACATAAATGTGCTAGCCAGGAAATGACCTAAGTATCAGTAAGTTATAGTATATATGTTAACACTTTTACTCAACAAAACTGGTGACTAAAAGATTTTACTTAACCTACTGAATTTTAGAATCCTCCCTCCTAATGAGCTATGTATCTTTAGGAAACCAATTTTACTTTTTTGTGCCTGTTTCATCTATAAAATGTTGCTATGTACCCAGATTATCAAACAGGAATATCTAAGGAATTACAGATGAATGAGTACATGCCCTGAAAGAGTTAGAAGGGCTCAATGGAGTTTTATTTCCTAATTGCTATTACTTAACAAGTTCTCTAAATGTCTAAAAGTTACATCTTTTAACTCCACCTGGCCTCCAAACACCACTACCTGTTTCTATTCAGACCTGTGTCCTATAGTTAGGATGTGATCTTGAGTGGTAAGTCAGCAATTACATTTCCCCCCAAATATTTATTAGGATGCTATAGACCAGGACTATTAGAAAAACACATTAAAGTGAGATCAACGATATTTTTAGTTTGAACTTTTGACTACTAGAATAGTTTATCTTCTACCCAAATGTTTAATACATTTCTTAATGCTTAATACGTTTTAAAATGTATAAAAAATATTCACATCTTTTCTATCGCTTTTATTATGAAAACAGGGATCACCTCCCTATAGTAAAACTGTTTCCCTATGCTTAATATGCTTCTTCAAACTACCCTCTACTTTTCCTTATGAGTCACATTATATTGTGGATATTTGTATGTATGAAGGTTTCTAGGGATGATACTCAGAAAGTTGAATTTTTAATATGTTCCCCAGGTTACTCACTGGAGTATGAGAACTATGGAATATGGCACTGAATACATAAGCCACTGATATCAAATGGAAATGGAGATTCTCATTTACCTAATCCATAGCATCCACCTTTATGCCCAACAATTCCCTAAAAGAGATTCTATTCTAAGATTTCTTTAGGATTAAAGTACATACCTGTAATCCTAGCCCTTGGGAAGGTGAGGCAGAGGGATCATGAGTTTAAGGCCAGCCTGAGTTGTGAGACCCTATCTCAAAGGAAAAAGTCTGTTCACACGTATCTAAAACCTTACCACAGAAGGAGCAAGTCCTTTTGAATTCTGCTTCTTCTTGGGTTTGGAAGGAGTTTGCTTGTCTGAGGCATTGTGAGCTCCACTGATTTGATTCACTTGCCTATAAAACCCATCTGAAAGATATTCCACAGAAACTGATTTAGGTCTTTTCTGATCTCACGCAGAATATAACATTTGTACATAAAGATCTCAAAATTAAGCAATTTTTAAAAACCAGATCAATGAAATTAAAACCAACAGAGCCAGGTGTACCTTATCTCCTGTGGCAAGATTATAATGTATAAAAAGGAATAAAACACACAGATGTGTATAGCAGTTTTTTTCATAATGGTTAAAACTTGGAAGCAACGAAGATATCCTTTAGCAGGTGAATGAATAATAAATAATAAATAAACAAACTGTAGTCTATCCAGACAACTGAGTATTTTCAGTGCTAAAAATAAATGAGCTTGCTAAAGCAATAAAAATACTTGGAGAAAATGTAAATGCATATTACTAAGTGAAGGCAGTCAATCTGCATACTGTATGACCCCAATTAAATAACATCCTGGAAAAGGCACAACCATGGAGACAGTAAAAAGATCGGTGGTTGCCAGGGTGTAGTTGGGAGGTAGGTATGAATAGCAGAGCACAGAGGGATTTTAGGGCAGTGAAACTATTCTGTATATTATAATGGCAGACACATTTGTCACAGCCAGATTGTATAACACAAAAAGTGAACCCTAATGCAAGCTATAGATTTGGGAGTGATAATGTGTCAGAGTAGGTTCATCAGTTATAACAAATGTGCCACTCAGGTGTAAGATGTTTCCAGAGTGGGAGGCTATGTTTGTACAGGGCATGAGGTACATGGAAGCTATTCTTTCTGCTCAATGTTGCTTGAAGCTAAAACCGCTCTACAAAATAAAGACTATTAAAAAATTTTAAAACTCAGTAAGTAAAACAGATCAATAGTCACCAGTTTGACTACCATGGTACTTAACGGCACCATGGGGCAATGTAAGCTTATATTTATTTCTTTAAAAAACAAAAAGGGTGTGTGTGTGGCTGAAGTCGTAGAATACCTTCCTGGCAAGCACAAGGCCCTGAGTTCAAATCCCAGTAACTACAAAAACCAAAAAACCCAAAAAAACCCCAAAGCCCCCCAAAAAACAAAAATCTTTAAAAAAGGAACAAAATAGTATTTACCCAGTAAGCTAATGTAGTATTGATTTTAATTCTATCAATAATTTAGGTAAACTGCACTGCAATTCAGAAGACAACATGAGGTAAATTTGTTTGCGCAGTACTTGCAACATTCACTTAGCACATCCTGAGAACTGACCAGTGAGCAGAATGGAGGGTTATGAACTCATGTGCCCCCTGGTGGTAATCTGATGAAATCACTAATCTTTCTTTCAAAATAATTAAGTATGGCATGATCCCCATATCTGTCAAAATAAAAATACAACCAGGTTTTCTGCCTGGTAGCAAGGGGGTGGTGGGGGAGAAAGAGGGGGGTGGGAAAAAGCGGGGAGAAATGACCAAACATGGTATGCACATATGAATAGAAGAAATAAAAAAATACAACCAGGTTACCTTTTTTGTTGCACCTGGTGTCCCAGACCATGATGTTGCCATCTCTTCCACCTGTACAGAATACAGCTATGGGGAAATGGAAAACTTAAGATGCTACAAAACCAGTCAATGACGCCTGTATTTCTATTTAAGTCTCCTAGAGTACTCTCCGCTAGGTACTGGTCTTGGTACTGGAGATTAAAAAATTTTAAATATGTAACTCCATAATAAATAGAGAAAACAACTGTGAGGGAAGGGATTACAAAGAACTCAATATGCTTATGTAAAATAAAATTTCCACAGCAGAGTCCCTGTGTAAATTTTCTTAAAACCACATAAAATATGTAGTAGTTACAATAAGAAAAATAACAAATAAGCTGAGTACTTAGCATCCTAGGTTCTATATCATATTCTACATGCTTTACACAAATTATCTCAGTCCCCCTTTCAACCTTATCAGGTAGGTATGCTCCCTCCCTAACTTACGGACAGAAAACTTAGGCACAAAGAAGATAAGTGACTGCCAATGTATTCTTGGCAGTACGAATCCACAGCCTATACTCCAAACCTCTAAGCTGTATTGACTTAGAATAAAAAGACCAAGACACTGATATCTCCATGAAATTGTGAAAGGGGTTGTCTCTGGGGTTTGGAAGGAGGGCAATGGAATTGAAAAAAGGAAAATAGGAGACCTTAAATTTATCTTTAATGTTTTGTTCTTTAAAATTAAATTAAAAAAGAGGGCTAAGGATGTAGTTCAGTGCTAGAGTGCTTGCCTACTATTCCCCAGGCCATGGGCTCAAGGCCCAGCATTGCAAAAATAAATTTAAAAAGTATCTCTGTTTCCTATATGGATGAGTAAGCACTTAACAAACTGATCCGCCTGCATTAGTTATAAGGTGGATAAAATGAAAACTACCCGAGTGCTTTGGGGAGGTAAAATTATGGAGGAGAGTCAACACCTGAGGCAAGTGATTGGTCTGGGACAAGTTACTGGTTTGTTTCCTTTTTAGTTCTACCTTGAGGCTAGTCACAGCTGTAGCATTAGTACCAAGCAATATTCCAGTAGGAAAACCTTTCACTTTTCAAGCCAGAGGAACCAGGAAAAGGAGATTAGGGGATAGGAGGAGGAGCAACAAGAATGTCAGAATAAGAGCCCTAGAGAAAGGGAACCCTTAATTCTGTGTTTAAATTCAGTCCAAGTTGGGCCAGTGTGGTGGTTCATACCTGTAATTCCAACTACTTGGGAGGTGGAAATAGGAGAATTGAAGTTTGAGGCCAGCCTGGGCAAAAGTAAATGTGACCCTATCTCAAATACAGTCAGGGTATGGTGAAGCACACTACTTCGGAGGTGGAGATAGGAGAATTGTGATCTGAAGCAGGTCTGGGCAAAAAGCAAGTGTGAGACCCTATCTAAAAAAAGCAAATTAAAGCATAATGGGCTGGGGGCATGGCTTAAATGGAAGAGTAGGTCCTAAATTCAATCTCTGGTACCAACCAAAAAAAAATATATATATGTTTATATATATATTTTCAGTTCAAGTCCCTGGCTGATCCCTAAGGCAAATGTGTAAGAGAAAACTGAAAGTAGCTTGCAACTGAGTTTTAAACTAAGGAACGGAATTAAGATATAAATTATTGCCCTCCTGAAAGTGAAAGTCTCAATTTGAGTCAAAATGAGTTAATAGGTTACCACAGAAACCTTAACTCTTTTCTAAGAAATACAACAGAATCCAGAATCCAGCATCCAACATACCATTCCAAATGACAGCAATTCCGACAGCAGTAGGGAAAAAGAGTATTCTTCAAGGAAAAAGTATTCACTGGGAGACAACCCCATGATAACCCAGATGTTGCCTTATAGACAAGATGGTAAATCAAATATAAACATGTTAAGTGTGGTAAAGAAATCTATACTTCTAATTAATGAAAAGATGATAAATCTCAGTGGAGAAACAAAACTAATAATAAAAAAAAAAGCCCATAGATTTGAGAACTGAAAAACAGTAACTGAAATGGAAAAATTCACTGCACTTAAGCTTAAGTGAAGAATAGAAAAAAGAGAAAGTCATTAAACAAAGACAAACCAATAAAAGTCATTCAATTTAAAGAAGAGACAACAAAATAAGATTGAACATTATGCTAAGTGAAAGAAGCAAGTCACCAAAGAGTACACAGCATATCATTCCACTTACATGAATGAAAAACTAGGCAAATCTATAGGAACAGAAAGGCTGAGGGAATTGTGGATGCAAAATACTGCTTATATGTTAGAGTTTCCTTTTGGGTTGAAGAAAATGTAGTGATAATTACATAACTTTGTAAGTAAACTAAAAACCATTGAAATATACTTTGAATGGGCAGATTTTATGGTATGGTTTGTTCCCTTCGAAACTCATGTTGGAATTTGATTGCCACTTTGGCAGTGTTGGGAAGTGGGGGCCTTTAAGAGGTGATTGGGTCATGAAACATATGTCCTAATGAATGGATTAAACCCTCTATAGATTAATGGGCTATCTTGGGAGTGGTTTTGTTATAAAAGTGAACTTTCTCTGGCCAGCTTGCCGTGTCTCACTGTGTAATGCTCTCCTGACATGTTATGATGCAGCAATAAGGCCCTCACCAGATACTGAAGCCATACTCTTGACCTTCCCAGCCTCCAGAACACTGAGCTCAATAAACCACTACTTTTTAAAAAATTTTGTTATAGCAACAACCACAACAACAAAAAGGTGAAAACAGCACACCAAATTATATTTTGAATTTAAGAAAATTCAAACGAAAAGTCTCAAAAATTCATGGGATAATTTCAAAAGGTCAAATACAAGAGAAGAGTCCCAGAAGAAAGGGGACAGGAGGAGGGGAAGGGAGGAAAACAGAAGAGCTATGAGAGCAAGAGCAAGAAGGTACGAATGAACTAGGGAAAAAAATCAAGAAGAAATGGCAGAAACTTCCCAATTCAGTGAAACATGAAAGAAAAAAGTGGTCAACCCAGAATTTTATATCCAACAAAAATATCCTCAAGAATGAAAATACAAGGACCTTTTCAGATTCAAGAAAACAAAGGTAATTTATTTCTACCAGACTTGTACTAAAAGAAGTATTAAGGCAAGTTCTTTAGGCCGAAGGGAAATGATACCAGAAGAAAGAATAAAGATGGCATTGCCAGAAGGAAATCATGAGTTTAGTTTTGAGTATGTTGAATTTAAGTGCTTGCAGAGAGGCTAAGGACAGAACTACAGATCTAGGACAATATAAGTAGAGTGAGAAACAAACAAGGCAATTTTTAGGTAGAGAATCATATCCAATTTATCAGCCTCATACTCCATTTAAATTTTACAAATAGTTAATAAGTGCCTAGTGCAAGGTTTTGACTTCAACAGACCCTGAAGTCTAACAGAGATATTTGTGGTTTTTCATAAATTTTCACCTGATCTGCAAGGTTATAGAAAAAAATGACTTGAAGACTCTTGACTTTCCAGCATAAGCTGGAAAGAATAACCACAAGAATGGGCCTAAAACCAACTTAATTTCTTTAAAGTTTTTAGTCATATTAGAATCTCAATCATCTATACAGATAAATAGCAACTTTGACAAGGTAAGGATAGAAACAACTGCAGCTTCCTATTTCCCCACTGTAAAGGAAGTTAAGGAGATAAAAACTTAAGCACAAACCTACCTTTCTCAAACTTAGAAAAGGCAACAGACTTGAGGCTGCACTGATGACCTTTGCATGTTCCAATCAGCTCACCAGCTTTTACATCCCAAAATTTGGCTGTTTGATCACCTGCTGCTGTAACCTTTCAAAAATAAGAAGCACAATTTAACAAAGCAACCCTCTACTAGTATTTACCCAGAACCCAATGAAATAAAAGTCACTTACGAGTTTAAGTTCACCAGGGACCCAGGCCAGGTCAAAGACAGCATTCCAGTGAGCCATCCATTCTAAATAAAGAAAATATAAATATGAAATACCCAGATTGTGTTCTGTGGAAGCCATATCAATAGCAGTTTAGGTGCCTTAAAAGCTACAATGAAAATATCAGTGGAAAGCTCTGTGGGCCAAAGAGAGTTGTGGAGTCACAGACATTACACATTTCCTTCAGCACCACATGAGAACTGCCATCCGATATCAAATTACGTCTATGAACAGACTAGCAATGTTTTGTAAAATGGAGTCTTTTTGAAATATTCTCCTAATGGAGCAACTTTAGTTTGATATTCACAGTCCTGCATTCTTTGGCTCTGTGGGGAGGCTTTTTACTCACTGTTCTCTGTATTTCTTATTCTAACCAAACTGGATCACTCCCTATTTTCTTACTATATCCTATTCTTTCCTATCTCTAGGCCTTTGCTAACTCCACCTGGAGTACCCCCTTCCATTTCCATTGGCCTAAATGCAATGGTTCAACTCAAATGTTCTATCCTTCATGAAAAGTTTTCCTGGCTTGCTCTTGTATGTCCACATCATTTGTGGTCTTTGTTTTTCTTCAGTTATTTCAATACTATACTAACTGGTTCTAAACTATTATTTTGCTTTATATCTGGAAAATATGTGATCAATATTTTATTGTTTCTTACCATGTTAGATACGAAGGACCTAACTTTTTAAAAAGAACTATTTTAAACTCTAAATGTATTTTTCTTAATTTTTAGTAAAGGTTTTGCCATAGTTAACAGTTATTATCAGACAGGCAGTCCACAATTTACTTTATTCTGGTCCCTAAGCAGACTTAATGAGAAGTGAATATAATTGGGAAGGTATTCAAATAGTAATTTACTCAGGGCTTTATGAATGACAAATAATGTTAAAAATAAAAATTGTATTTACCTTTGAAGCACTTCTTTTTGCTAGTTTGTGATTCTGTGTTATATAATCTAACGAAGCCTTCTTCATTGGCAACTGCTAATATATGCTCCATACTGGGAGCTAAAAGAAATAAATACATAAAGAGTAACACAAAGTTTCAAGTGATTTTCACAGTACTAAATGACTCAAAACCATAAAAATTATCTTCATATAGTCTCTTATATAGAGAAAGGTTAAATCAAGAGGTACTGGCCAATGGGAAATCAAGGTGTATGATGATATAGGTCATAAGCAGGCTGAGTCTATTTATTGTAAATTTCGCTTTCACACTCTTTTCTCTATTAAACTAATAAGAATGGAAACAAGTACTTTCATTTTTGTTCATATTTCCTTCAATGAGTTATAGAAAGATATTTAAATAGATCAAAAGAAGTACCTACTGGGCAAGATCATTTTCATGGTGGCTGAACCTTTTAACCAATATATTGGTTTGAAAAAATAGTGCTATGATAGTTCTATATGCTTTAGAGGAAATATATAATTACGCTAAATCTACATAGAGATTTAAAAAAAGTCTTTCAAAAATCAGGAGAGAACAGTTACTAGAAAAATTCTAACATCTAATGACTACTTTTCTTTCAAAGGTAGACACTCCAGTATACTTTTCCTCTAAACAGGAAATAATAATTGTTTCTATCCAAGTTTAGCCTAGGTAGTAATTTTCTTACCAGAAGAGAAGGTGCATCCAAAAGGAGGAACTGGGACTCCTGTTTCTCCATAAGAAGTGTGTTCGTCACTATAGCTGCATTGATAGCCAGTTAGAAGGGACTGAAGAGGGTAATGTGAAGACCACCCTAAAACAAGACAATTCCCATTAGAATTACAGTGTAGAATCATATTTTAGCATTTTTCACAAATGCAGAGATAAGTATTTGTTCTTAAAGAGCTTTATATATTTAACGGAGATTCATTTACTTCTAGAATACTCAGTTTCTGGTATTTTCTTAACTAGTCCTAGCTAGTGGTAAGGCAAAGCTTTGTCTGTACCACCTTAAATATAAACTCTCATTGGTATATTAAGATTAGAAGAAACAAAAAGCCCTGGCATATTAAAAAATCTTGCCCCTTCTCCCAACAAAGAGACTACAAAAGCATTACCATAAATTGGTTACTCACTTCAATGAAAATTTTATAGTTTCTCAAGCTACTAGCAACTATCATACATAACCTAGTGCTCAAAGGATTAAATGAAATGTGTTAATGTGGCTACTTAGTGACATATTTGCTAAATAAGTAATAAAGTAATAAGTAATTTCAGCCTTACAGGGCTGAAATTCTAGGATTCTAAAATGTTAAGAACAACCAGTCACAGTACCTTTAAGTACATTAGAACAATTTTAAAGTTAAGCTTTATGTACCTACTGCTAGAAGATATTCAGTTATCCCTGGCTAGTAGTAGGTCAGGGAAGCTTTAGGTAAGACATTGAAAGATGAGTAAATTTTCATTGTATTTAGAACAGAGAGCAAGAAATAGAGGGTGAAGGGAAAGTTTATTCTGAGTTAGACATCTAATGTGTACCATGGTCCTAAACAGCAAGCCATCTTCAGAGATTTTATATGTATGTATACTAACATGTAGATTGAGATACAGATTTGAGGGGTATTTTTTGAAATATTTGCATGGAGTTTACCAGCTAAGCATCCCTAATCTAAAAATCAGAAACCTGAGACTTTTTTGAGCATCATATTGGTACTCAAAATCTTTTGGGTTTTAGAGCACTTCAGATTTCAGAATTTTGGATTAGGGTATTCAATCTGTAAAAAAAAAAAAAAGGGCTGGGGATGTGGCTGAAGTGATAGAGTGCCTGCCTAAGGAAAAAAAAAATCATGTAACAATTACTGAAAGCTAATTGTTCATTAACCAAGCAGCTGAGGAAACAACAAGTTTACAGTTTACTGAGAAAGCTATCTAAATAAACTCACATTTTAGGGTACTTTTTTTTTTAGCATATAAAAAGGATACACTGTGATATTTATATATGTGCTTACAATATATCAATATTCCCCTCCCATCATTCTTTTCCTCCCCTTTATAACAATTTTAATAGGTTTCATTCTATTTTCATACATGACTACAAAATACATCCACCATATTTATCATGATTCACCCTTTGCTCATCCCCTCTCTCCTCCCATTGGTATACACCCCCAGAAAAGAACTGTTTTACCCTCCTGCTTTAGGATACTTTCAATTTTCACTTTTTATCAAAAGTTTTGTTTGGAGAAGACATTTTAGCTTGACAGAATCTCAGCAAATCTAGCTTTGTATGTTCATAGACATAATTGAAGGAATTAGTAGAAAGGAGGCAAAGAAATTTAATCTAGATTAAATAGTTACTCATGAGCCATTACCTCATAATTTCAATGTCCTATAGCATCATAAACAAGCTGTTAAAAATCTCTAAAGGAATGCAATAATCACTTATGTTAGGTTCATAAATATCCATCTAAAGAATAAATTCTAAAACAAAACCCTCTATTGTAAGGACATTTAGTCTAATGTCCTTATTAGGATTTTAGTCTAATGACTGCAACACACAAATCCAAAAGGGAATCAAATAATTTGGTGGAATTGGATAACTTCATTTTTTCTAACTAAGCAGTGACTCTTCAATTCTGCCTCATTGCTTAGACTATAATATGAAAACTGACAACCAGCCTGAAGTGACTGCCGCAGGGTCCCTACTTATTCATCTATTTCTGCAATTCTCCACAACACATGCTTGATAAGCCACCCTATGCTACTTTTGGATTTTTATTGTGCTATGACCATGAACTGCAATGTTTCACCCACAACACTCATTTGGAAAAGCCTAATCTTGCCTCAGTCTACAGCCTAAGGCCCTAGGGTTACATGCGGACTTCCCAAGGAGTACATCTTCAGATAATCAGTTTCCAGACACTCCACCTCCACATATGTGCATTTCTAAACCTCATCTGAGAAGATGGAGGCATTCCCTTCCCCTCCACTTTCATCACTTCCTTTTTCCACTTTACAAAAGAAAGGCATTTCAGTGCCTACATCTTACACCTTGCATTGACTCAAGATAAAAAACTTCTGGGTATCCGTTAAGTATTTATAAATAAAAACAAAAAATTTCTGGGGTTTCAACTATGAGACAATCGAGACCAAAGGTACTATAAACATTCACCTAAATACATTTTTTTTTTTTTTGGCAGCACTGGGAACTCAGGGACTCATGCTTGCTAGGCAGGTGCTCTACCACCTGAGCCACTCTGCTAGTTCCTAAATCCATTTCTTTAAAGATGTACTTTCAATAAAAATCTACCGTTTGATTAAAATTGCTATTAAAGTCAGGGTTTCCTGCATGCAAAGCAGGTGCTCTACCGCTTGAGCCACACCTCCAGCTCATTTTGCTCTGGTCAGTTTGGAGACGGGGTTCTCACAAAGTATTTGCCTGAGCTACCTTCAACCCTTGATCCTCTCAGGCTCAGCCTCCCAAGTACGTTGGATTACAGATGTGAGCCATCTGCACCCAGCTAAAATTATTTCTATTGTTTCTATCAATTATTTAATACTAATAACTATGGTGATAATTCAGTCCCAGGGAAACTTTTAGACTTTGAAGGCTTATAACCACAGAAGACAGCAATTTAAATACATTTTTTTTCTCACAGAGGAGTATAATAGGGTGATCAGCAAAAGAATTTTTCAAACATACAACTAAATTACATTAGATAAATTTTGTGGGAGAAATAAAATGGAAGTTCGAGAGGGAAAAGCAACCATATAGAATGCCTAGCAGTTAAGGAAGACTTTGCTCATATTTTAAAAAATAGATGACATGATGAGCAAATTATAGCACTATTAAATTCATGTAAAGGGTGATAGAGCATTTTTATTCTCATTAGATGTAAATATTCACAAAATGGACAGAAATTATACTTTTTGCAACTGTTTAAACATATAATAAAAACTTCTAGATAGTAACTTAAAAATACACAGAAGAGTAATCAAATTTCCCTGGTATAAAGATCACTGGGAACAATGTGGACACTAAACTGGAGATGGGGAAACTAAGAGCCCATTTAGGAGACTTGTTATAGTCCAGACAAGAATGAGTTAGGGTCTGGGCCAGGGAAGTGAAATGACCCCATATAGGTAAAGTGGCAGAATCAATGAGAGAAGATGATGGATTCAAGAGATTTTAAGGGAACTTTTTGAGTGTGTAATAGTAAGGCAGATGGAGCCTTTGAGTCACTCAGGTTTTTGGCTAGCAATACTAGTTTAAAATAATAAGGCTATTCCCTAAAATAGGTAATACAGCAGGCTTGGGGAAAAAGCGAGTTCAGTTTTGTGCATTTGAATCAGAGATTCTTGTGGGACTGACCATCTGGGTGAAGATCAACCCACAATTTGTAAAATATGGGGAATGGAAGGTTGCAGGTAGTAGAAAAAGTCTGACTTATGGCTATAATTATCCATGGGCGTAGGTAGAAGAAAAGGCACAGAGGGTGGCATTAAACATTAAAGGGGACAGAAGATGTGTGTACAGATTTCAATAGGTAACATATAATAATGAATAAATTTCAGTGTTCATCACCTAAGGAATATTTGCGAACAGGAGGGAGGAGAAAAAATAGACAGATGGGTAATTAGGAGAAAATCTGTCACAAAATAAAATTTTCACACAAAATTAAGGAGTAGAGGTGCTATAAAAACTTAGGTAATTTAACTTCAAAGAGAATTCAAAACCACTGTGCAGTTCTGCTACTCCTGACAGAGGATGAAGTTACTCAAATAATGTTCTAGGAGGGACAGAATAAACAATTATTTTTGGGTGGTACTGGGGTTTGCACTCAGGGCTTTATGCATGCTAGGCAGGTGCTCTATCACTTGAGACACACACCCCGCCCTAAAAATGGGGCATTTACATTAATTACAAAGATTATCCAAGAGGGAAGTAAGGATGGCATAAAGTCTTAGACTGGGAGTAGGAAGTTGAGAGTCTATTCAATCTTCTTTTCAATATCCTTTTCTTAGACCTACTTCTCAAGTGTAAAGGTTCTCAGATTTTTTTCTCCACGTGGTTTCAAGGGGAAGGAAGACAACTGGGTATAACTGACCTTCATTTCTATTCACGTTAGTTAGGGCAGTTAACTCCTTTATCAGAAAATGATTCAAGTTGATGGGACCCAAACCTAAGCTCAAGTCTCTTATTGCCAATGCTCTAACAGCTTAAAGAACTGTAGAAAAGGTGGACTTTTGCATGCTAACACATGAGCCTGTGGCCAAACGACACTGTGAGCTGAACAACAAAACCCTTTGATCCCATTTCTGGCTATTACCGCTGGCGTTGAAAAACATCTGGAATAATACACTTCAATCTACCAACAGTGGTCACCTTTGGGGGATGTGGTCATGGGCATCTTCCACGCTCTAATTTAGAATTTTTTTAAATGATCCTGTAGTAACGAGGGGGACGGGGAGACGGTGACGCTATTCAAAAGCAAATGTCCTGCCTGTCCTCCCCAAGTTCCTAGACGGAGTTTCTAAACAGCGGGTCACGCTCCCTGGCGCGTAACACCAAATAGTAGAGACCGCCAAGGTTCTGCCACGATCGAGCGGAGCCGAGCTGGCGATCTCACGCTGCCATTCGGGAACACCCCCCCTTCGCCCCCTCCAACACACACATGCATGCGTTTTCTAGTTAACGCGCGATATTGACGTAAGCAGTGAGGGGCCTGGGAGGCCAGTTAATTCAACGTCCTTCCTTCGGCCTACATTACGATTTTAAAAGCCCGATTGCGATTAAAAGTGTCCGGAGGGAATGAAAGTACAACTTTCTTAGAAAGTCCTCGCTAACACTTATCATTCGGGGCATGGGACAACTCGGAGGCTGGGAAACAGATGGGAGTCGGCCCGGATTCGAGGTGGAGCGTTTCGGGGGGAGGGGGAGGGAGGAGGTGAATCCCGCCAGCAACTAGCAGCAGTTAAGACCGTTACTCACCATTTCTCAGGACGCCAAGCTGGGGCTGGCGGAGTACCGAATTGAAGAGCATCTGGGCCAAAAGAAAAGGCTCAGCTGTGGAAAAGGCCGTGAAAAATCACCGCCACGTTCGATATAAATCGTAGCTTGCGCCCTCCACAACACGGGCCCGTTATAGCCTCCAACTCCCGCCACTGTAAGCCCCGGCCGCCAAACTCCGCGCCAAACTGACGTCACGCTCTCTGATTGGCTCCCGCCGCAGCGTCCGTGAGCTTCAGAGTCACTTCCCCCTTCAAATCCCCGCCTCCTTTTCTCCCAGCCGCGGGAACCTAGAGTTCAGGAGCTCCCTGAGCGCCTGCGCGGGGGGCCCACAGAGGCGCCGGCGAACCGCAGGGTGACCAGGCGCATGCGTAATATCGCTTGACAGCGCGCGGAGGAAAAATCCGCGAGACGGCGGCGGGAGAAGATGGCGGTGCAGGAGCAGAGTTTGCAATCTTTCTGATTAAGCTGGTCGAGTAACTATTCGGGTCATGGCATCAAACTCAACTAAGTCTTTCTTGGCAGATGCGGGCTATGGCGAACAGGAACTGGATGCTAACTCTGCTCTTATGGAATTGGACAAAGGTATTGGAAAGAGCGGGCTGAGCGGGAGAAACGCTCGTGGGGGGAACTGGCGCCACCCTGTGGCGGGGGCCTCGGGAGAGGCCGGGACGACGCATGCGCGTAGGTTTGCTGGGCGGGGAGTGCAGGTTGTTTCTCTGGGTCGAGGGCTCTGGCTGCTTCGGGAGGTTGCAGGAAAATTGCAGGATTACGAGATTGGCTTTACACCAGTTGAACAAGTAGCAGGCTCTAGTGGGGGGCCCGTTTTTACCACTTGAGGGCACGGTATCCCGATTTTCCAACCGTGAAAGTGGTTACATTGTGAAATCGTTGTTCGGTACGTGCAGTTGGGCTTCATCGAGAGCGCTGGATAATTTTTGCCCTGACTTTGTAGCGATTTGTTTTCTATATCTGTTAACAGGACAGGTTAAATACGGCCAAGGCCATCCGAAAAGCATGACCCCTGCTCCTGCTCTACATGAGTTATCTAGCTAGTAGAGGGAGCTTTGGGGTTAGGTCGAGTTGAATTCCAGTTCTTACTTGGTGATGTGGACCACCGACCTCACTTCATGTAGCCTCGGTTTATTGTCTGCATTGTGGGTACAGAAGCACGGAGGTGGCAGGAATGTCGATGCATTTATTTAATGACAAGGAGATACGCCTTCCTTTTTGGATATAGGAGGCAATGGGGGGATATTTGTCAGTAAAGAACTCAAGTATTAACATGAAACCTTTGTTTCAGCGTACCTCAAGGACTTTTTTATTGTAGGGGGAGCATTTTGTCAGTTGGTGCCCACTTAATTCTTGATTAACTGCAGCCAATTGTGTAATGGAGAGCTGAAGTAAAAGTCTTTGGATCTATTTTTGAGTCCACTTTGGGCGCTCTGACTTGGACGTGCCTATTGACTTTGGGGGGAGTTTTTTGTTTTTTAAACTTGTTACATTTGTATGGAGTTGGTATAGATAAGAGTTTCTCAGACCTTGTAGAAAGCTTTTTACCTCCTTATGATCAACATAAAAATGTCACAACACCCCAATTGGATTTTTCTTTGGCAGAGTCACAGTACCTTTAGTACATCCCCATCAACCAAAAATGATGTTGAGTTTTTCTTTCTCTTACCAAAGCCATAGGTCTTTTCTTCTCTGGAATATAAAATTATTAAATGTGTTATTTAAATATAGACGTTGTTAAATATTACGTGATCTTTTCCTCCCCAAGGGCATTTTCTGACAGTAGATAGTTGTAGAAAGGATGAAACACTGAAAAAAAAAAAAAGAAATCTAGACTTTTAAGTTTGCACATGTAAGGAAAAAAAATCGTAATACAATTTTTCTCTAAAAAAATTTAAAATAGAAATACATTGTATCTGTTAGAAATAAATGGATGGATGGTTATTGAGCAATGAGCCCTCTAACCAGGCAACAGTTCTGGCCCCAGAGTGAGTGATCACATTCAGTTCTCCCAGCAATGCCGGCCGAGTATTTTACAAATTAGTCTCAAGTTCAGAAAGCTAATTTGTAAAAGCCAGAGACAAAACTTTTTTCACCTCACCAATACTGTACCTTTTAAAGCTGTTAGGAAGTTAGGTTATAACAATGGCCAGTTTCAAGAAGGAATATATGGAAACAATTCCATTCACAATATCCTCAAAAAAAAATCAGATACCTAGGAGTAAACTTAACAAAGGATGTGAACGACCTCTACAAGGAGAACTACAAACCCCTGAAGAAGGAGATTGAAGAAGACTACAGAAGGTGGAGAGATCTCCCATGCTCTTGGATTGGTAGAATCAACATAGTAAAAATGGCTGTACTACCAAAAGCAATATACATGTTTAATGCAATTCCCATCAAAATCCCTATGACATTCATCACAGAGATTGAGAACTGTACCCTAAAGTTTATTTGGAAACACAAGAGACTGCAAATAGCCAAGGCAATACTCAGCAAAAAGAGCAATGCTGGAGGTATCACAATACCCGACTTCAAACTATATTACAAAGCAGTAGCGATAAAAACAGCATGGTACTGGCGCAAAAACAGACATGAAGACCAGTGGAACAGAATAGAGGACCCGGATATGAAGCCACACAACTATAATCACTTTATTTTTGACAAAGGTGCCAAAAATGTATGATGGAGAAAAAGACAGCCTCTTCAACAAATGTTGCTGGGAAAAGTGGTTATCTGTCTGCAAGAAACTGAAACTAGATCCATGTTTATCACCCTGTACTAGTATCAACTCAAAATAGATCAAGGACCTTAATGTCAGACCCGAAACTCTGAAGTTAGTACAGGAAGGAGCAGGAAACACTCTGGAAGTAATAGGCATAGGGAAGGACTTCCTCAGTAGAACCCCAGCAGCCCAGCAACTAAGAGAAAGAATGGACAAATGGGACTTCATAAAATTAAAAAGCTTCTGCACAACAAAAGAAATGGTCTATAAACTGAAGAGACCACCCACAGTGGGAGAAAATACTTGTCAGCTGTACATCAGACAAAGGACTGATAACCAGAATATACAGGGAACTTAAGAAACTAAACTCTCCTAAAATCAATGAACCAATGAAGAATGGACAACTGAACTAAACAACTTTCTCAAAACAAGAAATTCAAATGACCAAAAAACACATGAAAAAATACTCACCATCTCTGGCCATAAAGGAAATGCAAATCAAAACCTAACTAAGATTCCACCTCACCCCTGTTAGAATAGCCATCATCAAAAACACCACTAACAACAGGTGTTGGAGAGGATGTGGGGAAAAAGGAACCCTTGTACACTGCTGGTGGGAATGCAAGCTGGTGCAACCACTCTGGAAAAAAATTTGGAGGCTTCTTAAAAATTTAAACATAGATCTGCCATATTATCCAGCAATCCCACTCCTGGGGATATACCCAAAGGAATGCAACTCAGGTTACTACAGAGGCACCTGCACACCATGTTTATTGCAACACTATTCACAATAGACAAATTATGGAAAAAACCAAGATGCCCCACTACTGACGAATGGGTCAAGAAAATGTATTTATACACAATGGAATTTTACTCAGCCGTGAAGAATGAAATTTTATCATTTGCAAGTCAATGGATGGAACTGGAGAACATCATCCTGAGTGAGGTTAGCCAGGCTCAGAAGACCAAAGATCGTGTGTTCTCCCTCATATGCGGACTTTAGATCTAGGGCAAATACAGCAATGTTGTTGGACTTGGGTCACATGACAAGGGGAGAGCACATAAGGGAGGTATGGGGATAGGTAGTAAACCCAAAACATGAAAGCGTTTGATATCCCCACTCCAGAGGAACTAATACAGAAACCTTGAAGCGACAGAGGTCAACACAAGAAGGGGATCAGGAACCAGTGTAAAGACCAATTAGAGATGAATCAACTTGGGTTGTAACACATTTGTACATGGAAGCAATGCTAGGAATCTCCCTGTATAGCTATCCTTAACTTGACTAGCAAAAATGCTTTGTCTTCCTTTTTATGCTTATGTCTTCTCTTCAACAAAATTAGAGATAAGGGCAGAATAGGTTCTGCCTGGAGGGGAGAAATGACCCAAACAGTGTATGCACATGTGAATAAATGAATAAAAAAAAACAATGACCAGTTTCATTCTGGAATATTTATACAAGAGAAGTTAAAGTATGTGTCTAGAAAAAGACTTGTACCTGGGTGTTCATAACAGCTTTATTAGTAATGCTTTTATTAGTAAAACTGGAAGTAATCCAAATCCTAGCAGTTGAAAATAAACAAATGATGGTATATGTAGACAGTGGAATACTATGTGAAAATGAAAAGGAATGTACTATAGAACCATATGATATAGATGAATGTCAAAATCTATTTAGTAAAATATAACAGACACAAGAGTTATATCCTGATTTTTTTCTTTTTTAATATGAAACTCAAGAACAAGCAGTTCTAAGTTAACATGACAGAAAAAAGATTGTTTCTTATCAGGAACCTGGTCTGATTGGGAGAACTCATAATGGAATGTTTGGAGTGATTAAAACTTCAAATTCCCAGTGCATTTTGCAATATACAAATTATACTTCAATAAAGATTATTTATTTTAAAAAAGCAACCCATTTCATTAGAATATGTATAATTTGGTACTTCAAAGTTTGAGTAGTTTCATATTTTACCTGTTAAAAGTGTTTGTTCTGTGAGCCTGAGGTCATCGGTTCAGAAGGCTACAAATCTCAACTTTTTTTCTAGTTCTAGAACTTCTAGACCAGAGTTTTCCAAAGTATACTCCAAGGAATACCATTTCTGAAATATTTCAACAAGACCCCCCACCCCAACCCCTACCCTTACACACATGACTTATTTGATCAGTGTTTGTACCAGAGATACAGCAGTTAATAAAACCAAACAAAGCTCTCCCTCATGAGGTGTATATTCTAGATTGAGAAAACTGACAATAAGCAAATACAGTAAGCATATTTTATGACAGACTAATAAATCATAGAAAGGAAAATGAAAACAGATGAAGGGGGGCTGGAGAAAACTGGTATGGAGTTGAGTTGGCTTGTTATTTTTGAAGGATACTCAAGAATGGCCTCAAGTGGAGGAGCAAGTCAAAAGGCTCTGAGGCAGAAGCCTACTTTGTATGTTACTATCTGCAGCATGGTGACAACAGCAGGGAGGATGCAAAGATAACCAGAGGCCAGTTCAGTCTATGGAGGCAATGCAATCCACTGAAAAGACTGGCTTTAATTTTGAGGAAACAACTGAGAATTTTCAGCAGAGCTGTGGCATGATCTGATTTAGCTTTGAAAAGAAATCAGTCTGGCTACTGTATAGGAAGTAGACTGAAGGGAGGGCCAAAGACAGAAATTGGGAGAGCAGTGAGGAGACGTTTGTAATAATCTGAGAAAAGAAAATAGTGGCTTGGGCCAGAATGGTGTTGTGAAGCTGTGTAAAGTGCTTATATGTTGTATATTGAGCTAATGGACTGGATGAAGGTATAAAAGTGATTGGTCAAAAAACTTTGAGGTATTTGATCTGAGCTACTG